CAGTGCCAGCAGATCAGCTGGGGGCCGCTCTACGCCCGGTCCTTCCTGGACGACAAGGATTTCCTCAACATGTCCATGCCGGACCTGCCCAAACTGGAAGACGAAGGGGCACCGGCCCAGGCAAAGAAGCACAGCAGGTCTGTATCAGAAGTGACCAGCCTAAGCCTTTGTCTTGTGTGTTGATCTCATGGTTCACAGAGGGTCAATAGTTCAATGATACTCTTATGTCAAATATTTGGTGTCATACCTTAGTGTCAGACTTGATTTATACGAGTTGGTCCCATATATTTTCCTTATCACACATCAATATGTAAGATATGTTAGATGTTAATATCAATGACGAGTGTAAATTGTCCTTTACTAGATTTGCATAATAATGTGAGGCAGGACTACGAGTTTGTTGAATCTATTTTTTTTGGTCTCTGCAAGATCAGCCTCTTAGAGCATGCCCCAAAAATCCGCAAAATGGCTTCTTAAAAAGACAGGGTTTTAATAGCAAGTAAAACTGATGCAAGTTTCCAAAACAACGAAGATAAGGAAACTAACCCAAAACCTTAGAAAACAATCATTGTCTCCAAGAAACGATTGTAACAGGACACACATACTTTTTTTGTAGTTGAAGGGACGAACACTCTTTTACATTGATTTTATGGGGGATGAAAATGTCCACACAACTTGATCCTGATTTGCCGAACAACAGAAATGTTCCCTTAACACGGTGAAGGCCTGCCCGTTCCAATTTTCTGTAGATGCAGTTCCTAATGGAATGCCACCATAACATGGGGCTTCTGTCTTGAGCTATTTAGTCAACATCTAAACGTCCAAGCGTTCGAAGGATGCAAGTGAATATGGATGAATGAAAGTGAAACATGGTACATCTGAGCCACATAAATGTGACCACCACACCAGTAGCCATCCGATTTGTCGCGGTTTCTAACATTTTTAAATTGGGAGTTTTTGTTTGTTTCCCTGCTGCAGACTAGCTGAGCTTCAGCGGGCTGATGCCACTGGGTCGCCTTCCTCCACCCGTTGCAGCACCCCAATGAACTCTATGGACAACGTGGTCAGAGACCTGGCCTGTGCCTTACTTCAGGTGTCTCAGGGAATCGATGCCAAATACTTGAAAGCTCCCCTCGGTAAGTGGGGGGGTAGTCACCGAGGAGGAACTTTATCAGAGAAAGCCCAAGTATTCAAGAGAGCTGAGAATCAACCGAACAACCTATACATAACCTCATCTGTGTTCTTGAAAGCACCAATTATCACATCAGTGTTACACGGAAAGAGAAACTCCCACGAGTGCGAGTTTTTTATCAACTCTTTTCCCCTGCGCTCACTTTTTCCTTGGATCAACATGTCCACAAACAATGTACAAAGCATTGTGAAGTTAGGAGTTTCCTTTTTTTACCGACTTTGCGGTTTTGTGATTGCTCTTTTCTGTTGTTCATGTGCAAGTTTTCACTCGTGCTTCTCTGCAACAGGGGTGGAGGATACTGGACGCTATGCAGGCATCAGAAAGAGCAAGAGGATGCAAGAGAAGTTGGAAGGAAAGAAAGAAGAGAGCGGAGACGAAGACGAAGATGGTGAGAACCCTGGCACATGTGCATCTAGGACACTGACTTGGAATAAGAGTCAAAGGGGTTCTTGGCTATTTGAAGTTTTGTCTCCGTTGCCAGGTTGCTTATCTCATCCACTGGAGAATTTTGGGGTTTGGGTGTACATGTCAACAGTGTTTGTAGCCACGGAAACCAATTGTTATGGCATTACTCCACAAAATGAATCTCCACTAATGAACTGTAGAAAGGAATTCTACGCCAGGGCTTTGTACAGTGTATTCGTTAGTGTGGAATTGTGGCGTTCGTATAGGCCCACGTCCTGTTAATTAGGATTTTGCTGTCAGGATTATCACAGTGTTGTGTGCTGATGCGCCAAAAGCAGGGAACAGTAATCGTAATCTTCTGCAGAACTCCATGGTCAACTGTGCATAAAATATGTCAAGCTAAATTAGTCATGTATTGAAGTAGCATCGTTGCAAGAGTCTGTTGGGCCTGAGGTTAGAGCGCTTTGTTGTCAAGTGTTGCGTGCAAGAATATCCTAATGGCTTTCACAAGGTCGGCTGAATTCAATAGCTCTACTCTGGCAAGGATATCCCATGCTGGTAACTGATACGGCGTGTGATTATCCTAAAAACTCTCCTCTGTGCACTCCCTGCAGACTCAAGCTTTGACTTGGGAATAAAGTCAATTTGTGCCACTGAGTTGGAACAGTGTAGGCCCCAGTCATAATTTGTAGCCTTTCCAAATTAAAAGGCAGTGAACGTCTGAACCCGCTGTTTCTCCCTCTCCTTGCAAGCAGACAAGAAGCCGCGCAAGACGTGCCGGGAATGCTGGGAGGAGTCCCTGATGGCCGTCACCAGCCTCTCCCAGATCTTCCTGCACCTGTCCACCCTGGAGCGCTCCATCATCTGGGCCAAGTCCATCCTGAATGCCCGCTGCCGCATCTGCCGGCGCAAGGGCGATGCTGAGCAGATGCTGCTGTGCGACGGCTGCGACCGTGGCTTGCACATGTACTGCCTGAAGCCACCCCTCAAGGTCAGTTATTGGACAAGATGAGTGAAGGGCTTTTTTTAATCCTATCAGTATGTTGTTCTTGTTAAGCTGCAAATCTTACACACTGCGTGCACATTGCCCCATAGCCTTGTGTGTCTTGATTTGCGGAAATGGAATATTTTCTAAACAATCCATGATGCAGATTGAAATGGTTAATCTTGTTGACTGAATTTGAAATTGTTGGCTTTGGAATTCCATCCACAGAATCCAATGCAAACCTTTTTGTATCACTGAAAGAAAAAAGTATAAAAGCAAGATATATTAGATATACTGAATGAGAAGAATAGATTTAGTTGAATAAACCTTTTTGTTTTGCAGAAAGTACCTCAGGGGGAATGGTACTGCAAAGACTGCACACCCAAAGAGCGAAGTCCAAGGAAGCAACGTAGGACAGCGATGGAGAAGAAGAAACAGGAAGAAGAGGAAGAAGACGAGGAAGAGGAGGATTCCTCCGAGGAGGAATCTTCAGAGGAGGAGGAAGAAGAGCAAGCATCATCTGACGAGGAAGAGGAAGAAAGTGAAGAGGAAGAAAGTGAAGAGGAAGAAAGTGAAGAGGAAGAAGAGGAGGAGGACATGAAGGAGGAAGATGAGGATGCCGAAGGAAGCGAAGAAGAGGCCAGCGATGTCGAGATGGAGAGTGATGACGAAGAGTGAGTGTGCCCCCACCTTGCATTGTGTTTAAGCTCAGTGTGGTTGGAGCCGAGCTCGTACTTGCCCAGGTTTGGAGGATTAGATGCTTCAAACTGCACTCAGCTGCTGCACTGTTTCTAGGTGGCTGAACCACTTACTGCCGGGTGGATTTTTCTTGAGCAAGACAAGAGTCCAGGTCCTTTTTAATATTTTCCATTTTCAAACTTCTTAAAAAATTCATCATTTCATTTAATGGCCGTTTATACCCACATGAAGGACTCTTTGGGAACTACTCTAAAGCTGACAGGTAACCTTATTGACTTTTGAATATTTCAGCCAGGCCTGCAGCCTTGGAAAAAGAGCCCAGATTGTGCGGTGTTACGTAAGATTCTTTTGTTCCCGAAACCAGCGCAGTGCACTGCTGACCTCTTTCAATAGGGGCCAGATTAGCATGCAGCGGTGCTGTGTGGCTCATCGCTGTGGTGGTGGAGAGCTTTTGTCCCCGGTGGTAATCCGCTCACTCTAAATGCCTCAAACCGTGGTATACTGTTTCAAAACGACGCTGGATTATCTCCACTTTTGAGAACGAAAAAATGTTGGTAATGCCCAGCAGCTCAGTCTTTTGTGCTGAGCACGGTCTTTTGTTATAAGGCCCAACTCTTTTGTCCCATTTCCGGGCTCCCCGACTCTGCATATAAAGCCTATATACTCGAAAAAGGGTCGCCCGGCAGGAAGTGGTTAAACAGCATCACAATTGGTTCCCTAGATGATCAGTAGCGTACAAGAATAAGTTAGGAAAGTTCTTGGGTTCATCTCAGTAAGGAGTAAGGTTCATCATGGAAATGCAGTGGCTCATTAATCACTGTGCACCTCTCATGACCCTGGTTTGAACCCCCACGCACCTTGTAGGTCTTTCCTTAGGTTTTTTATCTGAAGGCTGGCAATTGGCTACTCCCATTGACTGCTTAGTATTGGCCTTTATTGTGAATTTGTAGTGCATTTACAAAAATTGTCAACATCAGACCTGTGTGTGGACAAGGTATATTCTCTTCGCATCTGCGGGTGATGTGTGGTTATGTTGGTTGCCCGACAATAAATGTCTCGTCTCCTTGGTGATCTTCCTCTCTGCAGCATTGACCACCTTGACATCTGTGGGGGCTGTGGGCACGGGGGCGAGATGGTCCTCTGTCGTAAATGCCCCTGCGCCTACCACGCAGAGTGCTTGCAGCCGCCCCGCCACAAACCTCCCCAGGCGAAATGGCTCTGTCCAGCCTGTTCTCTAAAGCGAAGGCCCAACGGGTAAATGACTGATCCCTTCCCCTCCCCTCCTCTCGCTGTTTTCAGCCTTGTCCGCATGTGACAACGCCCTTTTCTTCTCCACCCCTTACCTCAGCTAGCTCTCATGTACCACTCTACCGATGTCGATCTAAATGCATACAGAATGCGTAATCAGTGATAATTCACAAACGCCTGCATCCCTGCATGTAATAATGCTTTTCTTCTCCTTTCAACACCTTTCTCTGTTCATGATTCATGTTTTCCCGTAACTGAAGAAGTCCAGGTGACATTCTGTTGTCTGACATGTGACATTGCATGGTACCAGAAAAGTGTTAACCCCCAAACAAAAATAGCATGTTCGTACCTTCTCCAGTGAATGTACACAGAGCAATTGGACAGCGTGCATACTACCCTTGCCCTAGAAGCTGGATTACTTGAAGTCATTCACTTAGGGCTATACATCCTTAAATTAAACACCAGGGGTTGACAGCCCTTTTACATTAAAAAAATCATGATTAGCATCTGGTAACCTGTAATAAAGCGAGGGGTAGGGCGCTGAAATTAGCACCAGGCTGTTACTGATCCTGTCTTCATGAAATGCCTTTCAACAACCTTTTGTCACATTAAAACGCCTGTGTTTATATGTTTTCCTACTTACATTTGCAAGTTTTGAAAAGAGACTTCTGTTATTTTCATGAGTTCCCTTTGCATTTCGGCGCGCTGTCGTGAAATTACGTGCGCAAAGCTCAATCTATTAAAGCAAAGCTGCGCTGGTTCTTGCTGCGCTGCGCCGTGCCAGAAAACGTGTAATGAAAATGTGCCAACCAGTCTACACATCTTGGTCGAAAAAACATCGATGTTACAAGAGGATTTCTGCAAGATAATTCACAGAACTTGGTCTCTTCTATTCTATTCTATTCTCTGTGTTCAGGAGTTTACTTTTAAGTGGGTTTTTTCGTACTTGAAGTGAGCATGTTTCCACAAAATTTCCTGCCGCAGCACGAGGTTTATCATCCACCTGTCGGCATGCATCATGCATGCTTACCTCGCGATACATGGACATCGTTGGCCAGTTTGCCATCATGATCACCTGACTGGCATTGTGTGAATTGTACATTATTGTAGTAAATTTTCTACTGTAGAATTTTTTTGCTAGGATTAAGACCGGTTTTTATCACTTTTTGAGACAATTTTTGGATGCTTTTGTACCCATTCATGCCATTTCTGACATACTGACCTTTTTCTTGAGAGGCATACAATCAGAAGCAGAATTCTTATTTTTTGGCCTTATATGACTTCACTTAAAATAGGTCCCTGGTTCAGTGAAACAGCTCCCAAAACTGTCTGAAATTTAAAAGGCCAGGACAAAGGGAACAGGGCCTTGTAACAAAAGACTGTACTCGGAACAAAAGACCAGGCTGCTGGGCATTACCAACATTTTTTCACTCTCAAAAGTGGAGATAATCCAGCCTTGTTTTGAAACAGTATTATACCACGGTTCGGGGTATTTAGAGCGAGCGGATTACCACCTGGGACAAAAGCGCTCCACCACCATAGCGATTAGCCAAACAGCAACGCTGCCTGCTAATCTGGCCCCTATTGAAAAGAGGTCAGCAGCGCACTGAGCCAGGTTCATGAACAAAAGAAAGTTATATAACACCGCACAATCTGGGCTCTTTTTACAAGGCTGCCAGCCTGGCTGAAATACTCGGGCGTCAATAGATTTTGTCTGTCAGACTAGAGTGGACACCAGACAGTCCTTCACGTGTTTGTAAGTGTCCAGTAAATGAAGATAGGAATTTTTAAAGAATTTTGAAAACAGAAAAAAAATGATAATTATCCCGGACCAGAATCATCAGCATTGATAACTGCCCCCGGCAGCAAGTGGTTATTAACGAGGACCCCTGGCCGTGACCCGCGAGACTCTCGTCACTTCGCTCCCTCCGTTCGCTTTTACAAAATTATCCTGCACTAAAATATGGCTGGCTATAACACTGATTACAACCATGGCCTGCACTAGCAAATGGATTCCCTTCTGGGGTTTGTTCAAATTTTCTGCGGGCCGAACTTCCTTTTTCACCGTGCTTAGCTTACAAAACGGTACACAGGGGAAGGCTCAACGCACTGTCTGTCTTTGCCACTGGAAGCACATACTGTGGCAGGTTGAATATCTCATCAGTCTCCATGAAGTCTCTGTGTATTTGTCCGTCTGCTTATCTAATGTCCTATGCATGCCTCGTTACTTTCTAAATCACGTCCATAAGCAGCTAGCCACTTCAATTTCAGTTCACTTATGAAACAACAAGCATCAGCCTGCTCAGCTCACATGGCTGATTTTAAGAGAGATATTGATGTAAATGTGAAAGCCTTGCTTCGATATTATTTTTCTATTCCCTATTGTGTATGAGACAGCAGAAAGGCTCAAACCTACGAGTCGCAAGTCTCCAGTTCTACCCCATCCATTTTTCTTGTTGCTAGTCGGCAGTCTTGTGGGCTTTGTGCTGCAGCTGCCGGGAACACCATAGAGTCTAATTAGTCATGAAATCCAAATTGTATCCTTTGCATTAACCCTAACCCTCCTCAATCCTTCACCTGTTGGAGGATTGAGGAGGGTTAGGGTTAAGTAGTCCGTCAACCGTCAGGCCTAATACGTGTGAAAGCATGACAAAACCCATTACTTATTAATCCATTTTCTTCACTTTAGGGTCGTTTTGCTCGCAAAGCTCACAGACTTCTTGCATGGGCCTTTCTGAAACTGTTCTCCTCAAATGCTCTGCATTCAGAATTCCCATTGCACCCCCCCTCCCCACACAGGGCCTCTGGGAGTGATGCCCATGACGACACCTGTACAAACTGTGGCCATGGCGGGGAGCTGATCTGCTGCGACACGTGCCCCAAGGCCTTCCACATGGAGTGCTGCAAGCCGCCATTGGCCCGCGTGCCCAAGGGTCAGTGGAGTTGTGAAGTGTGCAAGAAGGCCTCAGTTAAACAGTCGAAGAATCAGCGATCGAACAAAACAAAGGGTAGGTTTTCTAAAAATTCACCGTATGCCACTTTGTGGGCACTTCCAGGGCATGTGACGTCATACATTTTGGGGGAAGGGCTGTTGCCTCATATGGAAAGAAGCAGGTTAGCAGAGTTGTTTGCTATTTTGGGAGAATGTAGAATTTTAAGGAACCTGATTAATGTTGATTCAAATTTAAGCAGGGTCCAAAGGGTCATGGAAAATCCTGAAATATCCCAGAAAACAGTTGTCCAGGAGAGTCGTGAAAAATTCTGGGGAAGTGGAGAAAAATTGGGTGTTCTGGAATCCTGTTGGAGAAAACATATCCTGGAAAAGACATGGAAATCAAGATCCTGCAAGGGTTATCTTTGATGGCCACTGTTGATGTGATAACGGAATAATGATAAATTAACAGGCTGTGTCCTTGCTGGTCAAGTGTCTGGTTCTCTCTCAGGTCATGATAACAAGCAACCTTTCCTTGCAAAATGGCTTGGATACTGTCATATTTTAATCCTAGAGAGTCCTGAACCAGTCATGGACTTCGACTTCCAGATGTTCTGTGGGAAACCTGAAAAAGTGGCATTTTCTTACTGGCAGAACTAAAATGTTTTACAATGCCTGGCACAAATCCGTAATGTAGTCACTGGGTATCTGTCAGTAACTTTGATTGATTCCACAATCAATGCTGTCACTGAACCTTTTTCTTACTTGTTAGTAACACTTGTCACCCAATTTTAGAGAGTCTAGCCTCTGCTGCTAGGAGCTCCAACAAGGAATCAAGACCTAAGGGAGGGGCCAGCTCTAAGAACTCCACCCATAAGGGTGCCTCACCCAAGGATGCCACACCCAAGGTATCTGCCTCAAAGAACCCTCCCAAAATGGCATCGAAAGGAGGCAAGTCGCAGGCCAAGATGCCGGCGAGCGGAAAGGGCAAGGCGGCATCAGCAAAGACGCCCCAAGAGGCCAAGCCTTCCAGGAGCCAGGCAGAAGGGCGGAGCAGCAGGAGGCAGTCGGCAGACTCGCGGTCCTCTACCCCGGACGTGGATGCTGGGAAGCTGAATATGATGAAGGGCGTCAAGGTAGTGCTGACGGCAATAAACGGAGGGGGCAAAAGGTTGCAGCGATCAAGGAGCCAGTCGCTCGATGGTAAGGAGTACAGAGTTTATAATTCTTGAAGAGGCTTCTTTATGTAACAAAGCCCCCCCACCCCACATCAGAACAGTTGAATCAACCAATCTATACTTGCCGGTTACTATTGACACAGGATTAGCCATTTTGGATTCAGGTACATAGGAAGATAAATATCATTTAAGGTTGCATTTTAATTGGTTACTATTGTCTATTGCACAAAGCTTCACTATAGTTTGTTGCTGCACAAGTTAAAACCCCAGCCAAAAAATTGTCCAATTTGGATTCTGCCTGAATAGCATCAAATTTTGTTCATTTGTGTGGTGAAATGTCCAACTTTTTACAAACTATTATAGAAGGTTCAGCATCCGAGGATTCAGGGCCCTCATCGACGTACCGCAGGCAGTCTTCCAGCGGGCGCGGCAGCCAAGAAATGAGGCAGCTGCACCTGTGCGAGGAGCTCCTGAAGGAGTTGGTCAAGCATCCAGAGTCCAGACCCTTCCTCTCAGCGGTCAGCAAGAAGGCAGTGAGTGGTCACGTTTGGTCTAGCAGAGAGATACAGTAGATTCCCATTATAGCGCTCTCAAGGGGACCTAACAGACTTGAATGTTATAACTGCACGGCACTGTAACCGACTGGATGGACGCGCAACATGTGCACATGTACTTGTACATGTATGTCATGTATGTGAATGTCGTTTACATGTACATGTATTGGCAGATGTATGCACCGTAATTTTCGGAGTATATGCCTTGTATCCGAATATCTCGACGTTTTCTTGACGCCGATAAAAAAACAGTACCAGATCTCTTCAAAAACCACCACAGGACCTTGTGCATGCTGCATCGCGGCACAATAACTGCATCTACACCCACTGCGACATCCTGACTGCTACTGCGTACCCATTCATGGGCAGTCCAGTCGCTGACTTTTCCCAATAACCGTGTGACCACAGAAAGTGATATGTCATTAGAAAACCCAAGTGAAAACAGAATCAACCTGTCACGCCGAACACAGTCGGCGAAAAGACGAGATTTGCTACACGAAGTATTTGTGCCCCAAACCACACCACGAGAATGAATAAAAGTGGGAAATAATCACTACAATGTCACCACAGTAAAGCCACGTGGGCATGGCTCACCGTGGTGAACACATGCTCACGATCATGCTGCGGAAGTCCCAGTGTATGTCTGCACTCTGTGTGATCGCTAAACTACTGGTGTCCATGATGGCTGGCCAATCGATGGCCTTGTGATGCGGTTTCATATGCGTTGATTTTCACAGAATCTGATTTTCCAAGGTAAAGAACGCTGTAACCGGAATCATTTCACATGCCTTACGTGGTTCTCGGGTCAAAAATCATGAGCGTTATATCCAAAAAAGCGTTGTAAACGGGAGCGCTCTTACCACAAAAATGTACACAGTGAATGGATGTGCAGTTGGGGAAATGAAAATTCATGTAGAGTGTTATATCGGTAAGAGCTTTGTATCAGGGAGTGCTATAACGGGAATCTACTGTAGTGAGATAGCCACTGAGAAATTACGAGCGGGATACCAAGGAAAATAGCAGTTCATGTAAAAAGAATCAGATATTAAATAGGAGCATTGAAGTTAGGTATGGTTTGATATTATATATGCACGTATTTGAGGGTGGATTGTCAATTTTACCTCCCCAAGGTTTTGGAAGTTGACAAAGTAAGTTTTTCTCACGAGAGGAGCTAATATCAGCTAACCACTTGAAGTAAACTATGTTATATTTGTATTACCACGCCTCATGCATACTCATTGGCTATTCAAATTTCAAGAGCAAGGGAAAAGTAGCATAGCCGGCAGTGCTTAATTTACATGCATTTCTTTGTGTGCAGCGTAGCCCTGTAGGTGTTTGTGTTCCATTGAATTGTTCCTGGGAAACAGATCAGTAGATTCGTGTACTTTTGACTCGTGAGTGGATCCCTGCGTACACACCTCGGTAACAACAAAGTAGTGAATGGCAAGTGATTGTGAATTGACCAATGATAATTTGGCTCTCATTTATGAATATTTGAGTAATTTGAGTAATTTTCATTTTAGTAATGAGTGATATGGTGTGCACATTGTGTAGAATTACCCCCGCTGGCAGTGAATAGAGAAGCTGGTGGTGTAGATTTAAAGTGAGTGCCAAGTGCATAGAGAGGGTAGTTTCCTGCAGAAATTTGTTGCGAACCTGTGCACAGTCATGGTGGTTTCCCCAATGAAGGGATGGCATTGCTATCTAAAATCATTCCATCTCTTATTCCTGCATAGAAATGATAGAATGGATATTGTTTCAATATTGTGCCAAATTTCTGGTTTATTGCTTTTGTGTCGAACATGACATATTTACTATTTGTTTGTTTGTTTTTTTCTTTTCAAAGTTAGGCAAAATGAGAAAAACAATAAGTTAACCTCCTTACACAGTTGACAGTTACACTTTCTCTTCAGTTTAGCTGAGTGAACTGGAGTGAAATAAGTCATGGTAATGCCTCCTCTCTCGCAATTACTGCCAGGTGCCCGACTACTACAAGATCATCAAGCGTCCAATGGACTTCGCCAGCATGCAGACTAAAGTCAACGCCATGGAGTACCGCACGGCCACCGAGTTTGTCGCCGATGTTCAGCTGATCTTCACCAACTGCCAGCAGTACAACCAGCCCTGGAGCGACACCTACAAGTCAGGCACCAAGCTCAGGACATTCTTTGAGAAGCGGCTGAAGGAGATGGGCATTGGCGTCGCCGGCGGCAAGGAGGGCAGAGGAAAGGACTCGCCGTCAAAGAAAGAGCAGCCGCCCAAGAAGAAACCCAGACGGAGATAAGAATTAAGGACTCCTCAGAATCAGGGCCATGAAACGCTCAGAAGGCAAACGCTCTGTGTGCTGCAGTTCTTGCACAAGTGTGACTCATAGGATCACTTCACTTGAGTTGCTGACAGATGAAGACATTCAAAATGTTGGCGACTCGTCATTTCACGTTACCACGTGCGGAAGTAGGGTTGCTGCATGCAAAAATGGGAAAAGGCACTCCAAGGGCATTTTCTTTTTCAGGTCAAGTCTGTAATCTTTGCTCGTTAACCGTACTTGGCCTTCTTATGAAGTATTTCAGTTGTAACATGACTTTTTGCTTGTGTAGAAAAGATATGAAGGTTATATGAAAAGGTAGTAGAGCTATACACTGTACATTCCCGTTAGGTTTGGTCCATCCATTTTTTTTTTCACTGATGTACAAGTATTATGTAGTAAATTTTTGAATCACGTTCTTAAATTCTAAAATGGAATGGGGCAGTTTATGGATGCCACCAAAAATTCACTTTCAAGCACTGGTTATCTAGTGAATAACATAGAAACTGCAATCACCAACCATAATGTGAAATACATATATTATGTACCATTTAAGAAAATGTTTTCATCTTGATTGTTTTTGTACGGGAATACATTCTCCAGAACGTGCTATGTACTACTGACCAAAATAATTTGTGTGTAAGAGACACTGTTTTCATCTGGTTTGGCAAAGTTTTTCCAGCCACTGTTAATTCAGTTGTCGGAAAATGGTTCATTTGTGTTAACAGGGATAATTAAAGGCAGCCTAGCAATGGCTCTTCTGAATAAATAGCGCCCTCTATAAGCTAGGCATTGTGGACATGCACACTGCTGGGAAGCCATTTTGATCAATTTCCAAAGGTAGAATGGCATTTAGAGGCAAATTGCTTGAGTGTCAGCCCAAAGGAGACTTTGGAGATATTTGGTGGTGGTAAGCACAGCGTTCCCTACTGACGGGCTCGCTGTCATTGGCATCACGTGGGACTGGTATGTTTGTCCCCACCAAGCATCTCAAAAAGCATCCCGTTGGATTTGCAGACTCAAATGTACTGGTGACATGAGTCGTGATGTATCGAGCGAAAACATCCTTAGTAAAGATTTAAACCATCTACTGCATTGACTGTGAAATTTGATGCACAGAAGAGTGATAAAGCCAGATTTAAAATGTTTAGTCAAAAAATGAATACTTAAGGTGGTGATTTACTGTGTTTCTTGGAACAGATGGTAGTTCCCTTGTAAACCAAGATTATCCAAGCACTTCTGTTCCTAAGTTGTAAGAATTTCTAAACATTTTTGAACTTGTAATATAACTATTTATCTCAATTTTTGTATTGTTCATCTAAAAAGTGTATTAAATTCTGACAGCAGTTATGAGAAAGGGTTATTAAAGACGAGTAATATTAAAGTTAACAAATAGTGTTCAATAAGTATTAACAGGTGTTATCACAAACATTTTGTTCACAAACATGATGCAACAACTTTCAGGTAATTTGTTACATATCAGTTTTGGGTGTGCAAGATTCTCATTTTGGATTTTTGTTCTCTTATTTTTCCTTTTTTTGGGGGGGGGCTGGGGTTTTTGGTTTTTTTTTTTTTGTGGTATATTCATATTTAGTTTTTTTTTTTTTACTTTTTCCTGGGGTTTTTGCATTTCTAAAGTCACATACTACTCCTTTGTTTCCTTAGCTTGACAAGATAGGCATAGGAATGGGGAAACACAAATTGTAGGAGTTTAAAATGGAACCAAAAATGAACTAGCACTTGGAACAAAATGGAACAAATAAGTAAAACAAGAAAAGGGTCGGTTGAATTTCATAGAGCTGCTAAGCAGAAAATGAGTATCAGTCACAAGCCAAGTACAACACATGACATTTTAGCCAGTAACTGGTTATTGCCGAGTAGATATTTTGTTCACCAAGTGACTTTTCATGCAGCTCTATCAAAGCACCAAATTTTTCATGGAAAGGTACATGGGAATGTGGATTATTTTTCTGGCACTAATCTAGTCCTTTCCTTTGTGATATCCATGTTGAGATTTTCATTGTAGTAAAATCATGGAAGTTGGTAGAAGAGAACTCTGGTAAACTTCTTACAAAAACTGGGAGGAATCTGAAAGTTGCATACCAAAGTGCAGTTGGTAAGGAGATATCCCTGTATTGTGACTAGATGAAACAGTTTGGGTTAATACACTGTATTGTCATTTAAACATTATTTCACATTTCTTGTTCATTCTTATCTTTTTTTTTTTACTTTCTTTTCTGTTTCAGGCAAGTTATTGAAGTAGTCTTTTATAAAACGGAGTACATGACTCTTGAAAGAGAAGCAGTTTAATTTAGTTTGCCTCACTATGTAAATAAAGAGCGATTAAAGGTGTCTTCTGTTTCCATAAACTACTCGGCTAATGTTGTGTAATTGGAGTGTTTTAGTTTCCAAAGGCATTTTGCTGTTGAATATATTTGCTTGACAGATTTGCTTGAAAACTATGCTCAGTCATTCCTCCATGGCTCGGTTCATTGCTGCTTTCCGTTGGATTACAGTGTTGTTATGAAAACTGAAAACCAGCATTTGGGAAACATTTTGGTTCATCATAGTTAATCGGAAATGAACAGGAAAGGTACACTTCCTACGTGGTTCTTAGTTTTGATTTCGCTGAATATAAATTGTTGATTCATTTTACAGGAACAGATTGGAAATGCACATTTTATCCCTGAGTAACCCTCTGACCCCTTAGGGTTTATGTAAAACTATATTGAAATTGAAGGATTGACGACTGTTAACAAGGTTTTAAAACAACTTTCAGAATTTGGGTAGAAAAAAATGTGATGGCCCCTCCCTGGATGTGGGTTGAAAACCTGGATCAGAGATGGTCCCCAAAGGATACCCCACTGTGTAGACAATCAAGTTTTGGCAGGTCCTGTCATGGCTGATGTGTGATGGTTTAACAAATGGCCCCCACTTTGATGGTCGTCCTGCTGTTGTTGCTAATGACACATGTAAAGCCTATATAATTTGAGACGGCTTCTCCGAGAACTTCCGTACAATCTTTGAATACGGCCAGTTCACTGTATTTTCCTCACCGCGTCTACCTCTGGTGATCCATCACCTGCAACAGCCTGATGGCATACAGTTCACTTCATTGCATGAATAAGCTTACTATTCCTCTGTACTTCCAAAATCTTCCTTTTCTCATTACTTTAATACTTCCAAGTTCCATGGACAAAATATCGACTTCCTCTAGCTCCGAGTCCTTGCACTGTGCTGGTGGATCCATGAGGCCAGCTTCCCTCCCTGCCCTAAGCAATTTTTTTATCAGTGATAAAAAACTTATTCCCCCATGCACATCCCCCAAGGAAAAAGGTTCTGAATCAGCTCTTGAATCCAGGACTGTCGGGAAGGGGGGGCACGCCCCCAGCCCCCACAAATTCCTGGTGTCCACCCAGGTGCCTCCAACTAAGAAAACGAATTGACAAGGCTAATAAAAACTTGCTTGAAAAAAACACACCACTGAAAGCTCGTGCCCCCCCATGAAATCTCAGCTATGCTAAGGCTTGAATCCATTTCTAAAAGGGTTTAAACACTCAGTTCTTAAAAGAAACCTAATTGAAACAATTCTTGTGATAAAAATCACCCCACTGGGATTTTTACAGAAATCTCCAGGTGCCCAGTCGAAGCACCCCAAATTACTTTCGTCTTTGGTGTAATGTAAAATGTTGGCCCAATATCCACGGTGGTGTCTCTGACCTGAACAAATATTGATTGTTCAAACAAAATGGCAATACTCCAACAGTTGAAATTGAATTGAAGAGTGACATATTTTCAGCAGTAGAAAAATAAAGTGGATATGTGGAGTCAGAATCTCAGAAGTTGGGAGCCTAGCAAATACATATATCTGCTGCTTGAATTCCGATGCCAAAACAAAGTCGGAAGTTTGAAAAGGGCAAATAGTCGGATGCCATTTTCAGGAAGCGTCTTGTTCATATTGTATATACCAGTGAAGTTGGGAGTCAGTGCGACCATCATGCCGAGTGTTTATCATCTGTCAAATCTGCGTGGAGGACGAGGGTTACGCCTGCAAGTTTCGCTGAACGAGTTTTATTAAAATAGTACTCCAGAACGTCACGTGCGGATCTTGTTCTGGACAATAACATGCTGAACAATGGAACGAGACGTTAAAGGCTTATGCAGGTGAGATGATATGATCATAGGTGTATTTGGTAAGCATGGTAAGCCATTATGATTTACAATTTAGGCCTAGCCCAGCAATCAGCATTGCCCAGGTCTTGGTTGGACGCCAGTCTTCGTCACTGAATAAATACTGACATTACTGTGCATTACGACTGACGTCCAGGTTCTAAAAAGGGCTTGTGTTCAAGACAACCAAAAACTTGGTTCTAATTTGTTCTTGGTTTACCTTTTTGAAGAAACTGATTTCAGGTTTACATGCTCTTCATGACCTTATCTATCTCTCTGGGGGGTTAAATTTCAGAACGAACCATGGATGGACTGTAAAATCGAAGGAAAGTACTTTCAGAGATAATGTTACTGTTTTTCATGGTTGTAAACGTAATTCGAGTTGCAAAATGCACACACGTACATCGTATAGGAATCCGAGCTGCGTGTACACACTACGCGTGTGTGATAGCTAGTTAGGGTCTGTTGCATGCCTGCTACACGGAGGCTGTGAATGGTACCAGGCTTTAACCCGCCTGCCGATGAAAAGTTTCCGTTTTTGTCTGATCAGGGCCTTCAGACTGACTGATAACCCTATTACCCCTAAAACGTTCATATTTTGTTCTGGTTTATATTTGGGTTATAAATATAAATTTACGAGACAACCTGCTAGACCTATGCTATAAGAATAACTTCAGTCAGTGTAGCCGGCTTTAAGCAGGATGCTTGCACATGTTGTATGGGAATAAGTCCATCAATGATCTCTTTGAAGTGTTTCATTTGTTTGCAGATTCTTATTGATTAAAGATGTATAAATACACAATATTGTAGAGATCTGATTTATGTTAAAATTAAACAGTATCTTATCTTGATAAATGAGGCATTGCAGGCATGATGATCGTGATGCACAGGCAAGAGTGATGGTATAGATTGGGAACAATATGCAGAGTGCTAGCGCAGGCTGAATAATTGTACACACACACTGTACAAACTGCATGCACAGGAGGAGAACGGCTGAAAACAGCGTTACTTCCGAGTTTATTTTCCTGTTTCTGTCTGTTGTGATGATATGTAAAATTTCTTAACCTACCAGCTGTGGAAATAAGGATGCATGGGATTTACAGACGTGAAATTGGCTTATACATGTGTAAGAAGGTAGAAGTGTAGAAAATTTTAGTTGTAAAGTTTTTCGACCCTTTACATGTATATCCTGGACTCCCTCCATAAGGTAGTATGGTCAGGGAGTCCACCTGGGCTAGGTACAGTAAGGCATCGTCATGATTCATGATCATGCCTCATGTAGCCTACACCTGTAGTCTGAGTAACTTGAACCCTACAAATTAACACTTAACATTTGGATATGAACGGGTGATAGTAGGGTCCAAGTACCTTGCATAGGTTTTGCTTCTATTGATTCATTTCACTCAAAATAGCTTGTACCCCCAATCAAAATTCTCCAAATTCACCTCCAAAATGGTCCTTAAACTGTCTAATGCACCCGGCATAGGATCAAGTGAGAATCAGAGTTTTCAGTAAACTCTCCTCAATCCTCCAAAATCCTTCGGGTGGTTTTGGAGGATTGAGGGTGAATGGTAAAGTGCATGGCTGATTGTGAAGGATGCCATGAGTGAAGGTCGTGGGTTAGACCTTGTGTTGTTCCTGCTCAGTCGTGCATATATTCAGCCCGATATTTCTTTTGAATCAACCGCACTGCTCAAGAATGCCATTCGCACTGCCTCAACATAATGACAGGAATTGCCAGAGAATTTTGAAGGATTTAGGCAGTGGGCACACCTCCAAGTAACATTTTCATGAAATTTTGGAGGATTTCGAAGGATTTAGGAAGAATCCAATTGTTTTCACCCCAAATTGGAAGATTCTAAAGGATTGAGGAAGGTCCCTAGCTAAAAGGGCCTAGGGAGTTAGGGATAATGATGAAAAGGTTTACTCACATTTGGGAAGAAAAGAGAAATTTTCCCTTCAAATTGGACACGGTCTTCTCGTCGAACGCGATGTCGCCATCTTGTTCAAATAGCAATTTGAACTGTACATGTATGTTAATGTCCTGCAAACGTCACAGCGCGCCAGCCTCTAGCAGACCATTCACACAAAGCATGCCGTGTCAGCACAAGAGTGCCAACGACTGATTCCTTAGTGCTGCAGTGTCTCTTGTACAGTTTTGATGTGATCACAGCTACCAGACTGAAGTTCAGGTGACGCATCACTGATTAACCATGTGCGATGGCAGTGCTCATATAAACTTGGCCACACGCACATTACGTACATGTACATGTATGTTATGTAAACTGGACAGCAAAAGAAACTTGCCACTTCTGTCAAAGGCCACACATAAAAATTCACACGGGTGCACGGGTATGCTGCAAGACCCCTTACTAATCTCATGCCCAAAGCAA